ACACGTGCTATTACTATCGTAACTACGTGATTTACTACTTTTACACAGAGGGATAAAGAAACTATATTGCGAAAATGTATGTTACGAAAAATTCGTCAAAATTTTTCGTAACATATTCCTCCTCTTAAAGGGTGAGCTCCGTCGAACCCATTAACAGCTTTCGTGTTTTCTCCTCCTTCAGCTTCCCTGCTTTCAGCAGCAATTCCGGAAAGTCAGAATCCACATTCGTTCAACAGGGCATGTACTCAGCAGTTAAGAAATTCGGATTTCATTTTGTATTGTCGAATGTAACCTGAATTACTATTATTAGCTTTACTAATAAATGTGTTTTTTTTTTTTTTTTTTTTTTTTTTTTTTTTGCGTTTCACTATACTAATCTAATCAAATTCTCAAGTTTCCTTCAGGATCGGAGACGAATTGAGCCAAGTTCGATAAAGTCGAAGCATATTGGTTGATCATATTGGTGAACTGGGATCTTCGTATGTACTGATAAAAATAAAATTTCTTTCTGTTTTTCATTATACTAATCCAACTCAATTCAATTCTCAGGTTTCCACCAGGATCGAAGATCAAATTGACAAGACCACGTGTTGATATTATTATTATGGCGATTTTTGTCATCTGAATTCTGAATGCCGTCTTCTCTTCATGTTTGCCTATATTATATTTCAGATGCCATTTACTTCTTTTATCGTTATGGTTATTGTCACCAACTAACATTCCTTGTTTATCTTCCTTTAGCTCATCATTCGTTCCATCAAGACCTTTTCCATTTCATTCACCATGTCCTCCTGGATCAAATCGTTCATCGACTTTACTACTTTCCGCGATTGTTCCAACCGTTTCTTTGGTAAGTTCTACTCCTTTTTCTTTGCACATGATCATCCGGAATTCGCCAGCTTTTTCCAACCATTTCTCACATTTCCGATTAACCTTTGCACCCTGATTTAACACATTACACGATGTCATCTTATCCTTTTGATTCTTATGTTCGCTTATATTATTTTGGGCCTTAAATGATTCGATTTTCAGCCTCCACCTTGTATATGCAGCTTCGATAGTTCCACCGATGTTTAATCCAATGGCTAAATTCTTAGCATCGTTCAAAAGACACACCACCTTATCGTTGCCATGTCTTTGCTTTACAACATAGTCACCATGGTTGTGTTCCTTATTCATACGCCACCCAACACCATATTGTTCGTTCAAATTGCCATTGCCGAAGTGATTTGTATACAATGCATATCTATTTGCATTGTTCTGTCTTAATTTTGCGGATCTACTTAAATCGGTAAGTAATTCTTCATATGCATTTATGTTGAACAACCTATATCCATCTTCCGTAGTTTTATCGTCGAGCATTTTATTTTTAGATTCGATCTTTGGAGCCAGCTTGTCTCTCAACAAGGGTAAGCCCTTCTTTTCGTCATCGTTTGTTTGACACACGTCATCACTACTCTCATTAACTTCTTTATCTATCTCTTTGCTTTTATTCACTTTTATTATGATTTCGCTCTTTGCATCTGTGCAAACTGCATTGTTTTGATCACCACTCTTGATACTTTTATCCACATACTCTTCAATTTGCCTTATCATACTTTTCGACTTTCCTTCCTCATGCCGATAGTCCTTTCGATCCATTGCTTCGTTCCACAGACAATCCATTTCGTCGTGTCCTTTCCTCTTTACGGCCTTTTTACCGTCCCCTTGTTTGTTTGCCTGGTTATTCACTTGGGTGCTTCCTTGATTGTCC